ATAACAACAGATATTAATTCGCTTGCCAAACGTGACAACTACAGGCATACTCCTCTAATAAGGGGGAAAAGGGATTGTTAGCAATGGAGTTTGACAGCCTCATTGCTAGCAATATGCCTATTAGGTCGACCTCCACGTGGTTCCCCCTGGAAACCATCGTGAACATTTCTTGTTGAATTCGGCACGATGGGCTAACTGACCTGCTTCATCCTAACCTATCATCCTTCACTAGTGCCCTGCCGGTGTATACCGCTAGCGCAGGTGGGGTATTGGTGGTGAGGTAGCATTCCATTATCATCCGTTAAAAAAAAACCCTAATAAGGGGAAGCCTATGTTTAGCAGTGGACAGTTAACGGCTGATATGATGATGACGATAATTAGTAAAATGAAATGAAATTAAGATGTATAGCTTGGAAGTTATGCAACAACAATAGAATTGAAATAAACGTATCTGATACGACGTGATTAAATCATCTTCAAAATCAGCCGGTCTCTATTCAAATAGCTGAAAAATCTGGACAACTTAAACTCTTTTAATTTTGCTATCGTAAAACCGAATTAACAATATTTGAAGTAAACATGTTTTTATTTATCTTTACTAAGAAAATGTAATAATATTACATTATCCAGTTTATTTACCTCTACGTCATTCCCATTTGTCTTGCAGACATTTAAATATTCGTCTCGTGATTTGTATGAAGAATGCGAATTGCACTATATAGGAAGTATCTATCCACCTATTCGGGTCGATCCCCTCTAGCCGGCCGCGTTTGGCGTCTCGGTGCCTCGAGAGTGACCCAAATTTTCGCAGTGACGTCATCGAACAGAGACCACTATATGGGTCATAGCGTAGCATGCAACAACAGCACAATACCCAGACAGCTAACAGCGCACTTATCTTCACAGCATCAGTGCTCATGTTATATTATACACAAGCTGTTTCCCGCAGCGTTGCCCGCTTCTAACTATGTAGTTCCCATATATCATGACCATTAGAACTCTTAATTAATCCGGTTTTAAATTGTATTATACACTTAAATGATAATTACGTATCTAATACCTTTATAAAGTTTCAACCAATGGAACTGATAGGTTATTTTATAGCATTTTATATGTGATTCTTTAGATTAATATATTTTTTTTATTTATGAACCGATTGAAATAAAATAAGCACTCAATGTTAAGTGGAGCAAACCACAATGTATTAATGAAAACCGTATTCAAATCGGCTAAGCTGTTTATGAGATTAGCGTACACAAACGTACAAATAGACAAAAATTCTAAAAATTATTGTTATGGGTTTTATTGCGTTCATAAAGCTATAATAGTTTTCTTTTTATATTTTTTTATATTTTATATGTATTGATTGTATATTATTTCCTCATTAAATTATGAATCTATAACTTTGCAGTTGTTATATATTAATAGTTTGTCAAAGGAAAGGATATAATATGTCCTAACTTTTTGATCATTCGATATTCTTTATAAACCTTACTCGATTAGACAACACGAATAAACTAACTAATATACAATAATAATAGATCTTCACAAAATATATGTAAAACCAACCCATGAACCTTATAAAATGCAAAATCGGTGTATTATTGACGAATTTGTGACGTAACATCATATACATACAACGACAAAAAAATACAGAATAATGTTGAAGAAGTATACAGAATTGAAAACTTCTCTTGTAAAGATGTCTAAAATTAATTATATTGTGTATTAAGGTTGTTTATCTAATTTTGACATTATTTATAATACCTATCGAAAGCCTTTACAAATTGATGAAATAGTTATGCCAATACATTAAGGGTTGAATTTTCTCTGTTTCGTACGTACAAATTCATTATCTCCTATTCTCGAGAAAATTTTCGTGGAAATTTTTTTCTCGTAATAAATTGTATTTTTATTTCCCACATTATAACGAAACACATTTTAGAATAAATTCCAGAAACGAACAATTTTTAAGTCTTTATAACAATAACCAGTTAGTAATTGTTTTGTAATATTGTTTTTTTTGGTTCTTTGGTATCTTTTGAACTGAGAAGAAATTATTTTTAGTGCAATTTAAGATTTGCTTATACTCATCTGTTCTGAGAACTACCACTTGAACTTATTTATAATACAAATGTCTATACACTTTCTAGGAGTATAAAATACGTCATTTACTATTATAATATCTATATAAGTGTGTATCGGGAATTTTATGAACTAGTTTTTTTTTTTTACATAAGTTATAAATTACATATTTATCCGAAGAGAATCTTATTCAGGATACTATTTACTTCATTCGATTATTCCGTGCGTTTTTCAGATTCAGCTGAAATGTAGTAACATTATATAGTAACATGGTGACTTGAACTTTTTGACTTTTTTTTTCATTTATTTTAAGAATCAATATTAAATACGGGTACTACATGCTATAAACAGCGAAAAGAAATCTCGCTCATAGTTTTTCTGTCTCTGTCCAATAAAACAACGCAACCCTTTCGAATTTAGATTCATTGAATTTTTTTTCGATAACTAGTTGACTAACAGTAGTATGTTAGTTAGCGTGACCAGATCCTAATCTTGGAACCTAAAGCTCATCCAAATAAAATAAATACTGATGTACAAAAGCATTTTTTCTTAAATAAATACATACAATACAGTATTCAGAATATGTGTATAGCGCATAGTATCAGCTATCTCCACTTGCGGGATGCTAACAATAGTTCAACATTTGAGTGAAATTTTCGATTAAAAGGCCTTTGTTAACTATTTTAAATAGCACTATTGGTAAACTTAAAGTACAAGGACATAACTGACGTCAAACTAAGTGTTAATGTTAATTAAAGTGGAAACGTAATTTTATCGAAGCAAGAACTTAAGTACTAGAGATATTGTGCTTCTGATTAACATTTTTATTTAAGTGTCAACGTTGTTTTCTTAGTTAACTTACTTAGATGACCTGGTGTGCCTATTTTTAACTTATTGACTTTAATATCACAGGATGATAAGATAGAAGAGTTGGAATTTAAGCATAGCTTAGATTTATGGGTTATTTTAAGAACTAGAGTAGTGAACTTTATAATGAGAACTGTTGTTGACATAATGTCCAATCAGAATATGTATGTATATATATATATATATATATATATATATATATATATATATATATATACATAGACCTCCATTAAGGAGGGTTTTGCCAGTAGTCACCACGCTTGGCAGACGGGTTGGCAACCGCAGTTACTCTTTTGGTGATATTTTAAAAAGGACGTTGCTGCCCATCACTCGACTATTAAGTTCTCTTAGTCGCCTCTTACGGCACTCACGGGAAAAGAGGTGACCCATTTTATACTAGGATCCCACTGCAACTATTAAAATAAAAGTATGGTCAATCTAAGCAATTTTATTCACATTCGTTTAACCGTACGAGTTTGACAGAAAACATAAAATGGAAATGTCTTTACAATTTTTTACCTTTATAATATAATAACACAGAGTTCTTTATACTGTAATAATAGGTATCTAGAAGGATTATTGATTGTTGTTAAACAGCCTGTGCTATTCCAATGAGGGTCAAAAGCCTTTTGATTCGTAAATAGCTCATTCGAGTTTTATTTTTGGTAGCACCACTTACGTGTCTGCAAATGGAATACTCTTTTATTAACCTGCTACTTGTATAGAGTACAGCGGAAAAATTAGAATTTTTTTTTTATCTATCATTAACACGTTATTAAAGATATTTAGAAGCCTATTTTTGTTATTGATCATTATATAATTAAAAAATTCCGATGTACTAAATAAGGTAATAAATATTAAAATATAACTATGTAAGTAGGTGAGCGCCAAAATGATAATTTCAATTATATAAATAAAAAATCTAATTTTAAATCCGAATTGCTTATATTAAAGTAATCAAATTATAAATATAGTTGTGAGAGACTGGTGCCTGAGATAGGTATAAGAATACCTGTATTACAGGTCACCAGGGCCTCACTCCGCAATTAAAAATAATACGCGCATTTTATATTGTTCCTAAACATATTTCACTTGAAGATGTGGTTTAAAACACTGTCTACTACTTGAAATTATATAGGTAAAAATCCCACATTAACCTAGGTTGCCTTAAATTAAGAGCAGGCAATCCATACAATGAACCTGGGTTGCCTTTGATAGATAATACTATATTTTCGCTACTGTTTCATTAAAACCAATAATCTAATACCTGCAGAAGTCAATAATCTCTTATCTAAAGGGATCTTAATCTAAAAGATTTTTTTTTTCTATATTAATAAACTAAGAACCATGGGCTTGTCTAGTTATTATTAATAGATTTTCCAAAAACAACCTGCTAAATATTATATACATCAACTATGATTTCCTTAAAAATAACTTAATATGTGCATCCTATGGAATTTGTAGTTGATATATATATATATATATATATATATATGTACAGAGTATTATTACATTGAATAAAAATGAATATAATATAATAAGAATGAATTTCTATGTATCTAAAGAGATATGTATTTAATAAATACTTGTATGATTTTCGGAAAAACGATTTCGATGTTTTAAATTGTATGCCATATAAATATTTGGTATTCATTCCCATGAGGTGATCAAGTAAGAATGCATAATGTAACCACAACATTTCATCTTCAGAATGTCATATAGAGGCGACTAAAGAAACAAAGTACTTCAGTATAAGAGAAGGAAAACTTTAAATAAAACCTGATGTTAAGTCGCTTGACCAGCGTGATAATATAATACGCTAATGTGATTCTCTATTTGAGAACAGGGTCGAGGTGAAATCCTTTTTCAATAATGAGATATTAATGGATTGTTCTAGATTAAATATTTTGTACTATAACTAATAATAATTGCTCCTTTCAATAGATTACGCACATTAAAAGAACAAAAGTGGAATAAACTTTCCTTACATTATTAATTACGTAGTATAGCTATTTTCTAATACATAATAACTCAATTTTATTTTCCAGGGTTCAAGTCCAGAATGCTGTACAGATAGCATTGGTTTAGAAAATTCACAAGGAACGCCTGTTCCACCTCCAGGACCTCGGTATAAATTAGCGACCGAGGGTACTCTGAGGGTATGCTGCTTTCAACACACGAGGACAGTGGTAGTCAAAATCCTAGCTGCCAAATTCCTTAGAAGATGGGAGACACACGTACTATGTTTACAAGAAGAACACATTGTCTCTAAAACGGTAAGTGTATATAATAGATTATATACTGAAATATCTATCTATAGAATTATTTACATTAAATAAAAAGTCAGTGGTCTGAAAAATTTTCCTGTTTACAAAAAAATATAAATCGTACGATATGAATAATTTAGATACTTACCTACTATTTTAGGCAAATTATTATCGTTTCTTTAGAAAACAATAACTTAGAGTCATTTGACTACGTCACTGACATCTTATACATCATTATATTGTAGGCACAACTTGTAAGCTGTTACGATTAGTACGAGTTCTTATACAAGTTAAACATTTACTCCAAAAATTATACAATTAGTTATAGATACGAATAATTAATATTATGTTGGGCAAATAAAGTATATTATATGTAGGCAAATGCGATCACAAGTCTATGTGATTTATTAAACCTTTTTTTTTTAAACATTAAAAAAATATTAATTTAAGTTAGTAAATATTCAGTTATTTATATTTATATTAACATATATTTCACATTTTATGTACACAAATAACGTACCTACTTAAGTATATATCTATTGCAGAAAAAAATATTAATTAATTCATAACTTTAGTACTGCGTATACAGTATTTGTTCTACATTACAGTAATAAATATTACCAATTTTTTGTACATACATACGGCTAGATTGAAAGGGTATATCAATCCGGACTCTAGTGATTTAAAGATAAATAATTCCTGTTTATATTTGATATAGCATTTTGATGAAATTTTAGAAATATTTTATATTCACACAAAAGCTTTCACTGACAATGTGATATATTTAAATAGCCTGTAATCTCCTTAACATCTGTATAAATATACGTCAATTCGATTACTCATCACTTGGCGTTATGTGTAATTTGTAAAGAATTTTTCATAAATTGTTGATACACTTTATTTACAATCATCAAATAGGAATGCCACAAGTGGTCACCTTTTTAGGGTTCTGTATTAATATAGTGATAACTTGAAACGAATTTTTGAAAGAAATTTTGATTATTTGGTCAGTAACTTTAGCCTAAATACGTACCTACTTTAGGCTGTCTCATGGGTACAGAAGCACATTTTGAATTATTTTTCTACTGTTACTAATTTCATTTCCTTAAAAAAATTGAACAATTGAGTACAGATTGGAAACTGGTTTTATTAAAAATAAAATTAATGCTTTGTACTTACATGTTACAATAAAAACAATTATTTGGTTAAAAGTATAGATAGTCGATTGGAAGTTTTAACAGCAATTTAATTTATTCATATTATATATATATATATATATATATATATATATATATATGAATAACTTCTATTTTGCATACTTCTAGGACGAATGTAGCATTAAATAAATATTTGTTTCTACAAATGATTTAATCCCAAAAGTATAAAAAAATTTAAGTTTTAACCCTGAAACCATTTAATTATCGCGAAAAAAGTCGTGTATATCGCTAATTTTTACTTTAAATACATTACAACCTTTTATTCGAAATTTATTTTGTCTTTATATGTTAACATTAAAATATTCACTGATGTTACAAAAACTAAATAATTGTTATTTTTAAAGGCTAAATTTAAAACTTTCTTTGCTACTTATATTTATTTTACGTCATTTAATAGTTAATTTATTATTATATAATAATATGTATAGTTAAATCAAGTGTTTTTGTAAGTTATATAGTAAGTATACCTATGAGCCAGGTGGTATGTTTTCATGATCCCTATCGATAATATATTAATAGATAAGATTTTAATGAACAATGACGCATTAAATCGAATGATGTACCCATATAGATATTTATTTACTTAGATATCTATTACTTTCTAAACATCACAGGCTGACGCATTTTTAATACTCGTAAAAAGTGGTAATAAAAGCAATTATTGTAAATTTCAATAGAATTTAAATAAAAGTCAACAAAATTTTATTGGAAGTGTCACAGAAATACATTGTAAATGCGATTAATAACAAATTGAAACATTCAATCAAGTTACCGACTTTTAATTTTTTTAAACAATAATTCATACCAGTCAATTATTGTTTCTATACATTTTACATAATATAAATGTAAATAAATACAATGCCTAATTCCTAACTCTCACAGATACATTATGTCATAATGATTAATACTCTAAATCTAATAATAATAACCATAGGGAGACTTTGTACAAAAGTCATCTGTTTGGCTACCTCTGTCCCATTCGTGTTTTGCCGCGAAACAATTTTATTTGCATGACTGTGTTCAGTTCAAAGCGTGAGGTATGGTAATGAAATTGCATGGTACAGAGGCATAGCATTTTAGTCCTCAGTAACATAGTATACTCTGTTATGTCCATGGCTATAGGCCACAGTTACCACTTTCATCAGGTCAATCAGGTGGGCCGTCAGCTTGTTTGCCATTCTAAGTTGCATAAAAAAAATCTGAAATAATATGTCATTAGGACTTGATTGTTTCTATAAGTAATATTACAAGTAATCAGCGTTTGTGATTCAGTAAAAGAATTAGCCGATACTATTGAGTTAACGAGTATATTTTATATTTATTCGTCCAACTGCGTGTAATACGATAAAGGTACCAATAACCTCACGAAAACTGTCTAGACATTAATCATAACTACCTCTGTTCTAAATAATATACCAGTACTACGTTATTTATAACACAGAGGACACAATTTCGACGCCCCTTAATTTATCTGTGATCAATGAGGAACTTTACCATGAACTTTTATTTCTATATATTCTATCTCTAAATCAGCCTGTAACTATTTTAGCTATGTAACTATCCAGATAATATTTTGTGTGTGAAGTTGCCCATACAAGGCGTGACATCTAGCAATAGCACTAGATATTAGTAATAGATTGAACGACTTTTTTCCAAGGAATATGAGTCGTGAAATAAAATATGATGAAAAAGTTTGGAAGTTACGGCTTCACTTAGAGAGTTAAATAAAAAATAATCAGACCTGATTACTATTAAAATATTTCGACTTAATAGGTACTAGTTCATTTCATCACTAACTATACAATGATAGTCAGATGAATTGACTAAATTTGTGGTTCCCGATGAACAATTAATAATCGTAATACGAATTAACTACCATCAGAATTATATTTTTTTACCTAAATAAATACGTGTGATATAAGAATTGTGACTATAAATAATATGTGTGTAGATAAAAAAAAATATCACTTGCTTTCTGCTTCGCAAAGTATGTAAAGTCGTCGTCCAGTAAATTACGTCAGAGTTCAGAGACCTTCGTATTTATATGTAAGTATAACGAAAGCGGCCTAGAAACACTTGACATCAAAGGGCACCATCCTGACTCGCGTGGTAGTATTTACAATTCACGTGTAATTAATTCACGATTCATGGAATATTATAAAAAAAAAAGCTTATCGGTATCCACCGTAGACGCACAAATGAACAAATATTTATTAGTAATAGTTATATGTTTATCCAAATTAATATACACTAATTCAATTTAATTTTATCATGAACTCTATAACGAGGTCAATCAGAGATAAGAGGATTCGTGCGTCACTGCTTTTTATTAGCATAGTTTTATAATGTAATTATGCGACGCTATGCATAAATATAAATTATTCATTGTTCATATAAAATATTATTCGTATCTCTGATTTACGTATAGCCGATTTTTCATCTGAATATCATTAATATTTAAGTAGCATTTCAGGAGGCCATCGTCTGTAACGAAGGTGCTCTAGAAACTATTGAAATTAGTGAACAGTACACGAGTAGTAGAAGTTTGTTTTTTTTTTTAATAAATGATAATGGAATGATAACTCCACCTGCGCTAACGGTATATGCTGGCGGGGCAACAGTGAAGGATGATAGGAGGATTAAATGGCAGATCAATTAGCCCACCGAATCCAGCACAAACCTGGAATCCAGCACAATGGTTTCCAGGTGGAATCACGTGGAAGTCGACCTGATAGGGTATATTGCTAGCAATGGGAGTAGTAGTCCGCATTACTAACAATCCCTTTGCTTCTCGAATAGTATTCATGGTATTGCCAAGAAGGTACTCAAATAATAGTATTTACTTTTTTAATCCTTATAGTACATGTGTTATACAGATGATGGTTAGATAATATAATATTTTGCGTGTTAAGTTGTCAATACAAGGTGTGATATTCAGCAATAGCAATTACTTTGTATACATTTAAGCAAATAACACATTGCATCCCGTAACGTTAACATTTTAAAATTGTAATAACCTAGTAGTTTTTAACACACTATAGAATTTACATCAATTCGAGTATTTTTTATAAATAAAATATATTGATATCAAATATTTTTTTATACATAATACTGTAATTGAAAAATCTTTATTTAGTAAGCTGATTAAAATTTTGTTTGAACGAAGGTCATCAAAAATATAAGTATTCTACCGGTCAACCGGTGTCAGAAGGCACACCTCAGTTGTTAAGAATTACATTCGATAAGGGATGACAGCCTCTTATTTCTTGGCGCTCTTACCTTCTGGTGCACAAACGATACCAGCACTACATTAAACAACAATGTGGTTTGCCATAAACCCATGTTAGAAGGTGCACAAGCAAAAGAAATGATCTGTTTCAAAAAATTAAACCACTATTTACACAGCCATAATCGTTATAATTATATATACTTTAATTCATCAAAGGATTTTGCAATCTTACCCATAACTATATTTACTGCGTGTCCTCCCGAAAATATCTTTTGTCAGATGTTGTTCACTTGCATATACCCAAACTCGCAGAAGAAAGAAAACATAAACGTTTACATTTACCTGCATAAACGGATCTTGGCCTTCAAAACAATTCCCCTTTGACGTCATATTATTATATACCTAACGCTGATAACATCACAGTTTGAATCGGAAAATGACTGCCACTATTACAGACTTCATATTGAACTTTTTAAATAGGTTATAATAGGCAATTCAAGCTTCAAATAAATAAAATGCAGTATTGTGCTACTAAAATAATATAGGTATTAAGTTAATAATTA